GTTATTGACACAGCTATTTATAAGGTGAAAAAATTTGTTTTCTTCCTTCTAAATTACATCATTGATATAACGTTTAGCGTTTATGTTTAATGTTTTGAAATGGAAGTTTTAAGAGTTTTATCACTGCTACGTAAGGATTTGCGTTTGAATAGACACATAGGATCCAATTATTGGAGCTCCTGGTTTCCTTCACCAAGGAGTCTAGATTCTGATCCCATGTGAGCTTTTGACTCTCTTTTCAACCTCTGGCAAGACCTTCCTGCATCTCAATAATCTTAACTGGAAAATTAAGTAAAAATAAAAACATCACGTCATTAAGAGACAGATGCTTCATCTGAGCAGCGCTTTCTTAAGTAAACACATGACAGAGCTTCTTGTGACATTTTTTAAAGATGTGGTGCTGTGTCTCCTTGTCTATTGGTCAGTTTGGGGTCGGGAGACGAGAGCTTGAAATTCTGTTTAATTTACAGACCAAAGTTTAGAGAAACAACCCAATTTCCCTCCTGAGGTTAATGTTATAAGTCATCCCTAGTTGTACGGTAATAACTGATTTGGATAAGAAGCTGAACCAACATTTTCCTTTAAAGTAATGTGTCTTTACCCGGGTGTCCATTATCTCAGATTTTAGAACACCAGATTCACTTGTGAATTTAAGGAGACAAGATGCTTTTTAAATCTACATTGTGAATGTCCAAGATGAAATTTATTTAATGAAATGTCACCCATTTACCAATTTTAAAAGACGATTACTGTCCTAGAAAAATTATCAGGAGACTAATTGTTTGCTATTTCTGAGCTAACACTAAACTCAGACTCCTACCCTACAGACTTTGCTTTAATGTAATTTACCATGAAACTCATTTCCTTAGCATAATTCAAATAAACTCCTTCCTGAGGTTATTTTGTGTGATGGGCACTCAGCAGGACTGTTGTATTTATGACATGATTTAATATCTATTAATATATGTGTATATGTATAGCTGATTCACTTTGTTATAAAGCAGAAACTAACACACCATTGTAAAGCAATTATGCTCCAATAAAGATGTTAAAAAAATTTTAAAAAAAATAATAGGTCAGTATTTTATACAGAAGCCCGTTTAATTTACACCTTGAGTTTTACTAATGATTTCAAACAGCAACACACAATTCTGGAGGCTGCATCACTTGGGAAAATACTGAATTGGACCCCTGCATTACTCTCTAAATTTTACTGTGACTTCTGTAATACTTAAAAAAAAAAATTTAGTGCGTGAATATACAAATGCCATTAACAAACTCACCCACTACATAACTGTGTTTGGTCCTTAACTCTGTCGGGATTTTAGGCGAGAAGTGGCTTCCAATAACAGGAGTCAAGAATTAAAGATTCACTAAGAAAGATATTATTGTAAATAAGATTGCCTAACTTCATTAAGGCCAACAAACCGCTCTTCAATCTTTTGCACGTCTACTGATTACAAATGGTTCCAAATACAAATGCTAATGCTTCCTTGCAGTGAGTCTTTGGGATCTCTGCTTTAAACCCAGACCTTGAATTGTGGTCCTTAATCCATATCAGTCCTGTCCTCTCACTAGGATTTTTCACATCCTATTTTACTAAGGTAGCTTGGTTGAACTTCCTCAGATCTCTTCCTTTACCTTTTCCAAATTGACTTGAATCTTCCTCTTTTCCTATACTTGGACTAGAGAAAGAAGTATCTCCTCTGTCTTTCAAGAGAAAGAATAGCCTTTCTCTGTGGCTTTCTGGAACCCCTTGCCCTGACTCCTCCAAGACCTCACCCCTCAACTAACTCTGGTCTGCATTGCTCTAAAAACTCATCATAAAATACATTTTGATTAAAAAACAATACGTTATTTTAGGAGTTGTCAATATTTTCTCCAACATTGTTTTATTCTCTGTGGCACACGTGTTTAAATCTCAGCTGCACTAATCCTGCCCAAGGCTGCTTGTGGGAGAAATATTTAATCTCTAATCTTTAAACATTTCTGTGGATGATTTAGGAACAGTCTCTCACTGGAAAAGTCACTCCTAGGCAATCAGTGACATCGTGATAAATTCTGATTAAGCTCTTCACAGCATTTCCTTAAAACGTGTTGTTGTCAGCCATGACATTACATTTGAATTGTCCTAGATTCCAGAATTTTCTCTGTTAATAAGCTTTGAATATCATAGTGTGTGATCTCTAATGTAAGTGTCCCTTGAAAATAGCATATGCTTTTATATGTAACTTGTCATTTCAGGGTTCAAAGATATTGGCAGATTTCAGACTGACATTAGGTGTCCTAGCTTAATGATTGGGGGAATCACATTTGAAAATGCCATTTCTTTGGCCGCTCACAGCCTTTAGTATGCCTGTCACGTCTCTCCAGAAGAGCTTCCAGACATCACTCACATTGTTCTTCCATTTCAATTCCTCTTCAGCTCCTGAAGGGAAATCACATGGGTCTCTCTTGCTGTGCCCTTGTTCCAGCTCCTGTGGCACTGGCTGCCTGTTTCTTTGGGTGCCTAAACGTTCTTCACATTGCCCATGACTCTCTTTGTCCTTGGGAGAGCATACCTCTCCCAGCCAGCTGACAAGCTTTCTTCATGGAAAACAGAACTTTCATCCTCCCTCCAAGGAGTCTGTCTCTCTCAACTGACCCTCAGGCAGTCCCTTTCTGACTGACTCTTGGAGATCTTACAAAATTCACATCTCGTCTCAGCTCTTGCTAAAGTGGAACTGAGATGTGTTCATGCCCAGAATGGCAATCTTTTCTGATGGCCGTCTAAGCATTTCTTATATGTATCTTCAGCAACAAGTAAATTACATTGATAAATTAGCAATTTAGGGGCCAGAGAGCATGCCAAAAGATTCATTAAAAGAGACCAAAATATCTTAAAATAAATTGCTTTGCTTACATGATTGATATTTAACATTATAGGCTTCACCATTCTGTATAAAAGAAAAAATGGAGGTACTCTCCCAGGTCCCTCAAAGCAAATTTGGTGTTTACCACCTGGCTTGTATTTAAATTGGAAATCTAAAATTTAGCCTCCAAATGAAGGGAATATCTCTTGATGCAGTAATACAAAGGCATATAAAAAGTGCTATTTATTTAGATACATTTGGAGGAAAAGACTATTACTCCGTTAAATAAGTATAAATATCTTATGAAATCGAGTGCAAAGATCACATTTTTTAAAGTAGAAAACCTGGATTCATATTATAGAGGTCCCCTTAGGCCATTTTCCCTTTCTCTTCTATGCCAGGGGGGAAAAAACTCAAGTATGAAGCTTCCACACTAATGCCACAGTGTTAGCTGATAAACATTCTACATTCTCAACAGTGTTTGATGTACTAAGTAACTTCTAGCAGTTTTGAATAGGACATGAATGAAAGGTTCTATTCTTCTGTGAGTGCGGTGAAAAACTCAACATACCACCCCAAAATTGGACGAGCTGCTTCCAGTCTTCTTTTGCATGTTACTTGGAAGATATTTTACATACTATGATGCGCATTTATGCTCCTGACCAAATAGAAAGTGAGTGGTGGTGAGAGGGTTTCCCACAGAGAACTGACTAGCCTAGTAAATGCTACTGAAGTACATAACTGCATAAATAGCATCAAAATGTGGAGCCTTAGAAGGTCACCGAGCCCTGGCCACTTAACTTCAACCACAACATCAACCAGCTGCTCAGTGGACAATTTTGTTATGAGGTGTTAGTGATTTAACAAGTTGGCCAACAGTAGTTTGGCATAAAAAATTTCATCTCTGTTGGGTTTTACTGTTGCTCACTGGACTTTTTCTTGGCAGAATGGACAAAGTTCCTGCCATTGGCATTCAGGAACCCAAGGAGAATGCAGTAATCACTTTTCTGTGGTATTTTCCACATTCTTTTTTGGTGGTTTGTGTATGATTCTGTAAAGCTTTCAGAAAACACTACTAGGATGACTTGTCTACCTTTTTAGAGTCTCTCCAAACTGTTGTCCTGGACTTTTTTCAACAATATTTTAAATTTATTGGAGAATGCATTATACCTTTAGACTATGTGAAAATTAATGTTATGTAATCAAACAAATTTAGTCAGATTATAAGAATGGGGTATGTACTCTGTGAAATAATACCTAGCTTGATAGAATGGGAACGGCAGTGTGGGATTGCACAGAGCGTGTTTGGTAGACTTAAGCACAAGCACCACCTGAGTAGTTGTGGACAATCACTTACCTTCTCAGTATTTTCTTTCTCTCCAAGCGCTAACACTCTGTAATGGGCATCTTGGTGCTTTAGACATTTCTTAAGTGTAAGTGAGTATATCTTCAAAATATACCATTTACTTGTGGGACTAGTATACCTTCACAACTCACTAAATAACTGAAAGAAATGGGAGTGAAGCAAGCTTACATATGCATGGAAACAGAAATTTACTTGAAATCTTTTCTTTTTCTCCTCTAGTCATCTCTTTTATGGCTACCTATCTACTTGGCCAAGAAAATAGAAGTCACTGACATTCAAATACCATCTATTAAGTGTTTGTAACTTGCAGAACATTGAGTTAAATACAGATTTTTTTCAACAGTGGATGGCGGGGGTAGGCTGGGGGATGCTCTCTGATCTCCTGCGGCTTATAGTTCGTCAGAGAAGATGGAAAATTAGACAGGCATTCAAAATAGTATGTAGTGAGGGCTATGACATAATCCCACAGTTGCCTTGCAAATTCTAGATTCTAAATAAGGCCTATTTCTACATATCCTTGAGCATGTGTGATCCAGATGGATTATAGGAACATCTACTCTAGTGTAATTTTTCAGTTTTCCTCTAAATATTCACCAGAAGTGACCACTCTGACTACATGCAGCTTTAATTTACCTGGGGGTCCAGTCTCTGTGTGAAAAGGCAGTTAAAATAAACTCGTATACAATTGGGAGGAAAAAAGTCAAGTGCTAGTATAATTGCCACAGAAAAGTAGAAATACAAAAATCACTCATTATTTGCACTTCATTTGTTCTGTCCCTTAGGACATCTACTTGGCCTCTCCCATGACGATTCCAAATTCTGTGAAGAAAATTTCGGTTCCACAGAAGATAAGCGCTTAATGTCTTCCATCCTAACCAGCATTGATGCATCCAAGCCCTGGTCCAAATGCACCTCAGCCACCATCACTGAATTCCTGGATGATGGCCATGGTATGTATAGTTCCATAGGCTCAGAAACAAAACTTGGAATTATTGCAAGTTGTACTTCATTATGTCCTCGTGATGTTCACCTTAACCTCTAAGACAGTGGTTGCTTAGAAAGTGTCAGAAAAAGGAACAAGGGGACTGTCTGTTGGTGTGTAATGCCAACGTCCTCGGTGGCATTATAGCAATGGTATTTTTGCTTTTGAATTACAAAGTTCAAAGAGAAGCAATGTGGGAGACCACACAGAATGCCTAGCCAGTGCCCTGAAAGCCTGGCTTTTATTCCCTCTTTCACCACTAGCTTACTGTGAGAACATTGGCAGATAATCTTGCTTCCCTGCTATTAATATGACTCTCAGAATTATTTGTTACATCCTTATTATAGGGGTGTGGTTAAAACGTAGGTGACAGTTCTGTCAGATTCTCTTTATGGCGACATAAAACCAAGAATGGAAGCTCTTTAGATTTGCAGTCACTAAAAAGTTTGGTTTCATCCTGACAGCCTGTTTTCCTGAAAGTGGAGTGAAAACTGCAGAACAGGAATAGAAAAATCAATCTGAATGGTGAGAAAACAGTTTAAGAATTTCAAAAGAAAATCCTTGGCTTTATCCCCTAAGTACAGTTCAAGAGCACAGCACATTTTATTAAGTTCTGCAAATCTAGGATTAGTGCTGTAAATTATATAAAAATACTAAGGAAGTCACAGTTTTAGAAATAATAAATTCTGACCCTTAAGTAATCTTTGAAACAAGCTGTTGCTAATTTCCTAGCATTCCTTGTTACCTTAAAATATTAGAAACACAGGAGAAGAGATGAGGTAGAGTTGGAAGAGATCTTCAGAGACCACAGAGTTCAAGTTTCTCATATTACAGAAATGGACATCTTCTCATTCCTTTTTTTTTTCTCTCTTAAAACATGTCTCTTTCTAAAACTGGTGGTTGAAGTGAATGTGACAGAAATTCTTGATCATGATAATTGTTCACAAATTTATCTCATGATGTATGGTTCAAAGATAGATAAACAGAATCTGCAATAGCTGTTTTTCCTTGTTCCACAAAGTTTATGGCTTGAAATTTTTGTAACTTCATAGTGAGTTGGTCATCTTGAGCTTTGGCTACATAATTACACAACAATTAATAAATTCAGTTCTTTTCAGACAAAAAGAAATTCCACTACACAGTTCTTTGCTATCTTGTAGCCAAAATGTTCATAAACTCATTTTTGCTATGTTAATGGTGAACTGGTAATGCTTTAGTTACTTTCAACTACTTACATTGACTATTCCTGAAAACAATCCACACCCATCTTCCTTTAAAATTTCCCTTAATACAAAATAAATGTTCTTTGTTAGTTGAAATGATGGCCTAATATCTTGATGATTCAGAAACAATATCAAGAACCAATGTATTAGGTTTTTCCTAGACTAATATAAAGTGGTAATTTTTTGTTTAGTTAGCCCAGTTTAAAATGCTGATTAAATGCTGATAGAGTCCTGGAGTGAATGCTTACCTAATTACCTGCCTACCTACATTGATCAAGTCCATATCTAATAACGTTCCTCTTGGGTGGAATCTTAGTTTCCACTCTTAATATTACTTTTACTGTTTTTCTTCAAGTTTCCTAAAAATGGAATAACATTAATATTTCATTTCAAAATCACACATTACTCATTCCAAAAGGTTGAGCTAAACTTTGAATCACTAAATGAACAGATTTAGTTGCTAAGGCAGCAAATACTTATGGCTAAAATTGAACCAACTTTTTCTTTCCCTGTGTAAGTATTAGGTCAGCTAATTACAATGCTGTGCAGAATTTTGTTCCTATTGCCATATTTCTGGAATGATTCATTTATTTCATGTTTGTGGAATTCATGATTTTACTTTCCATGCAGTAAAGACGCTCCCAGTATTGTTTTCATTTTTTAAACATTATTTCTGTATTTAAAAGAATCTACACTCAGATTTTTTTAAATTTTACAACAAATTTTATACATCTTTCTGTGTCAACTCCAAAGGATCTCATGGTAGATAACAGCCAAAACCATACTTTTGCTAGAAATAGGTCTTATTCATTTGCACTGAGGAAATCACATCTGAATTCCCCATTTATATGTTAAATAAATAAATAAATTCAGTTACCAACATTTGTCGGACAGGAAATTCTCATAATATATTCATTCATTCATTCCTTTCATCATGCCTAGACTCTCTCACTTTTGAATGTGTTGGTTAGGCAGTCTTGTGTTTTAACTGCCCCATCCCACCAAAAACTTCAATTTTATCAGTAGCCTATAGTGAGTAAAGAAATTTCAGAATGATGAGGATCTAAGAAAGGCACTGTAGCTGTGACACAGTGGCAAAGTTCAATTACATTCATTTCAAAACAGACGCAGAACTGAAGTTACAATACTCTCTGTAGCACTGTCATTTACACTTGAATTTAAATAATTTAATAACGTTTAGATTGCAGCCAAAAGCTGACTTAAGTCAGTTAAAGCCAAAGTATGACAATAGGAACTAATCAACAGGATTTTCAGATGGTGGCAGTTCTGACATTTCAACTCCAGATCTTAGGAGAGAACCAAGGGGACAGTCAAAGCCCAAGATGATGGAAAAACAAACAAAAAAGCAAACAGAATACATCTTTGTTCGAAGACTAAGCTGATATCATATCATCAAACCTTTTCAATTTACTCGTAGGGAGCTACACACATTTGCAAGCAGAGCCCATTCATTCATATGTAGTAGAAATAGTTCTACTATTTTTCTGTTCTAATTTTCTAGGCCACTAACTATTTGAGCAAAAAAAAAAAAAAAATAGTCATTTGGGTGCATAGGGGATGCCAGACAGGTAAGCTGAGAGAAAGAAGTAAAATCATTTGACAATAAGAGAGAAACCAGAAGAGCTGTAAAAAGTAGCCCTGAAACAGTAAAAGCACAGTGGTCTGGCATCACATTCCAGAAGGTCAGAAACCCTCTTACCCCATTATTGTATCCTGCTGAAATCCCTCAAGATTTCAGCAGGATACAATAATTGATACTCAGAAAAGAAGTGATTTTCTGTTATTTAGGAAGGTTAAATTAGGACACTCATATAAAAGGCAGCAAAGCTATTGATGTTTTTAGGTAGATAGTCTCACAAAATTGATACAATTTTTAGGTGGTGCCTAAAGACTACATTACCTAGAGAATCCATTTATGTAATAGCTTATCTGTCTTGTTCCCACCTCCAGCAATGCTGGAGAAATGATGTCTTAGAGTACAATTAAATTTGAATCATTTCATTTGTTTTTAAAATTATTAGCCATAAGTAGCCAGACATGTGTAGCACTCTACCACTGCCAAATTTAAATTTCCTAATATTGAGTGTTTCCCGATTTAGTTCCAACAAGAAATATGCAGCAATTAGGTTATGGTTGAAAAGTCAGTGTGCACATTCTAAAATAACTGGGCCTGCAGACTTGTGATTCAGAAAGGAAGAAGCCATGTCTTATGGAGACTACCTCCTCCAACTCAGCCTGGCCAAGATACTTGCAGACTTCCTGCAGTGTTTATACAAGTTAGCTCTAGGCAAGCTGGCTAGGAGTATGATTCTCAAAAATAAAGGTAAGCACTGGCAGAGAAACTGTTCAGCAAAAACAGTTATTCAATTTCTTTTCTCAAATGTTTAATAACCATGAAGCCAAAAACAATAGCCCTGTCTGCTGGATCCCTCAGTTCACAGTGCCAGGTGATAAGAAGGACCACTGCCTAAGCAGACACAGCTCAAGAACACCCAAGACACAGGCTGCTAAGGAAAATCTAAAGACAGCTTTGAAAAATTCATATTTAAAGAGCTAAGTTTACAGCCACTTACTGAACACAGAACTTTGGAGAGAAAGCGGTATTAGAAAACCAATTCTCTGAATCCTTTGTTAAGTGTAGACAGTGAAGCTAGCAATAAGATCTTAACATTCAGTTTTTAAGGCCCTACTCATAAAATTCAAGGCCCATGATGGTATTCTCTTTATTTTCACAATAAATATGTTCTTTAACATGGTCTGTGAGTAAAATATGTTCTTTAAGTCCACAGTGACCCATATGTTTAAAAAGCTATGCTTCATCCTTTAACACAGAGAATTTTTAATCGAATTTCCTTGGCATCACATCTGCTAAACAGTGTACCACAAACAGATCCCTTGAATTACTTTGGTCAGCAACCACTGTCTGTGCCTTTGTCATTGCCCAAGTTAGTTTATTCGTCACTGAACCCATAATGCATCAGTGACTCTTTTAAATATGCAAATAAAGACCTTAGAAAAGAGTTGCAAGACCAGGGAGATGATGATAAAAGAAGAAACTTTGCAATGTTGTGAGCCTTCTTTGAATGAGTTTCATTAGGTATATTCATTGATTTTTCCTAGGCCAAGGATATTTGGACCAATTGGTTTTCTGTTTTTTTGCCACACCATGCAGCTTGCGGGATCTTAGTTCCCTAACCAGGGATCGAACCCGGCCCCCGGCAGTGGAATCACAGAATCCTAACAACTGGACCACCAGGGGATTCCCTGTTTGGGCCAATTCTTATTTTCAGTGTGTGTGTATTAAAAAGGAAGAGAAGACAGAAATAACTACAGTGCTAGAAACGGGGCGGGGCGGGGGAATGAGAAGAATAAAGAACAACCAACCTTCATCTGATGTTTCATTTATCATTAATATGAAAGACAAACAGTGCTAGAAGTCAGATATAAAAAAACAAAGATTTTTCTGCTCCATTTCCTGGAGGCATGGCATACCTTCCACCACCCCAAGTGTACTTTGTGGCCATGGAGAGACTACAACTTTCTTTCCTTTATTTATCCATCTCAGATCACTGGCTCTTACTTTTTAAATTTTCTACTTTACTTATACCCTAACAGTTAACTTAGCATTTAACTTAACATGGATGGTGAAACCAAATATGTGATGTGCACACATTTTCATTGTCTTTCTTTTAGAAACAATCCATCTATATACGCAGAATGTTAAAACAAAAGGAAGGAAGGAAGGAAGGAAAGGAGGGAGGGAGAGAAAAAGGAGGAGAGAAAAGGAAAAAGAACTTGGCAATTTTGTGGAACAGAATAAACAGACAAAATGTCAGCAGCAAAGCCCAGACAGGATTTCAGGCTAAGATAAATTTTAAAATATGTGAAGATATGGTTGAGAATAAAAGTAAAACAGATTAAGAAAAGTCAACAATAGATTGGACACTTTTAGAGGTCAATATAAAAGATTCTAAAAGACTGATCAATTTCCTCTCTCAGCCCTCCCCCAAACTGTACATATTTTTTAGATGAAAAGTGTATATCCGACCCACTATTACTTAAATCTTAAGTATTTCATATCGTGAGATTCGAAATCAGGCTTTATATTGATTTTTTTATGGTTGTCCCTTGGCCCAAGTCTTCCCTTTGGTAGCACTGTCTGTACCTATTTTATTGCCAAAGGACATAATTCAACATATAGATGGAATGGATAGACTGTAGATTTCACTGTTAACAGAAACTAATGCAGCAACAAATCCTAATGTTGAGAGCATTAAAGTAATAAATGAATAGCAAATCTGAATAAATCATTTTATTTTAAGCAAGAAAAGTTAATCTCCAAATGACCTCTAAGGGAAAACCATAGAGCTAAGATATCTCTTTTTTAATAGCCAAGTAAATATGTTATACATTTTTAAAACTTATACTTTGGTATTGAGCTTCATAAAGAGAGGCCGCATCTTGGAGCCTCCTTTGTCATAAGCCGATTCCAAATTGCATTGTACGTTTCTTTTCACACATCATACATCATCAGGGAGGTAGAGGAGGTATCAGTGACCGCATATCCATGGAGAGGTGCTGAGTTATTTCAGCTTGGGAGAAACGAGTTCGACCCATGCCATGTGCACCCACACATGTTAAAGACTTCCCAGCTAATATTTAGTTACCCAGTCTTACAGTCTGTGCTTTTCAGTAAAATTTTAAAAAAAAGAAAAGTTTCTTCAAACAGCACTTTTGGAGAACTGGAAAGCATTCTTGCTGCCTCAGAGATCTGTTGACAGTCTTCTACCATCAGCAATCTGCTATGCATTCCCTGGTTTACACAGGCTCTTTTTTATGTAGCAAGGAAGATAATGCTTTTCCCGGAGTTCCAAAGGGCCTCATCTCACTTTATCTTCTAAACAAAGCTTAGTGAGGTTTTACTATCATTCCTTCCTATTGACTTGCTGTTGATGTTTTTCTTTTAACTTAATGTTTTTCTCCCCAAGTTCTCTTTGGCTGGATACTGATTTTTAATGCTTTTTCTGGCTTGCCTTAAGAAGCTTTACCTCTTCAAACGTTCTGGCTCAGAAGTTAAGTAGGAACTTTGCTCTTTATTCATTTTCATATAATGCCTCCAACACAGATTGACAAATTTCAAGGTATTCGCTTTGAAGAAACTTGAGTGTAGTTGTAAAAACATTTGCAGTATACTTAAAATGTGCTGAATATTCCATTTCTCAGTGGAAAGTAGGATTTAAACATGGTTTTCTTTTGTTGAATAAAAAGAATGACTTGAATACATCTGAAATGTTGTTAAATATGTTGGGCATAGTACCAATATGATTGTTTTCTATTTTTCTGGTCCCCCCTTATAGCTCTGTGAGCTAATTTTACCCTTCCAGTGTCACAGTGAGGAGAGAAACATTTCACAGATCTTAAAAATAAATTAGGGAGCAGTTAACTAATTTGGCCAAGAACACTCAGCCATTTAGTGTTTTGCCAGAATTAAACTTTAGACCAACTGTTTCTTCCATTAGCTACCATTTAAAGGATCCCTACACATGCCTGCCCTTTAGCAATAAAATAAGCAATCTATCCACATGCTCAGCAGAGGCAGGATGGGCCTCTGAGCATAAAACCCTAACAGCTATGGGACCTTGGGTAACTGATCCATCTTTATATTCCTCAGTTTCCTTATCTGCAAAATAAAACAATGAAAGAATCTGCTTCATAGTGTTCTCGTAAAGATTGAATAAGCTAATACATTTAAAGAACCCGTGTCCCCTGCATCGGCAGGCAGACTCTAAACCACTGCGCCACCAGGGAAGCCCCAATTATTTTTAGTATTGTTAATAATCAGTGTGTAAATCTTAAAATCAAGTAGACAGAAAAACACCAGAACTGATGGGCAATATGTAAGCTCCTGTATGAAGAGAAGAAGTTGAAGGTGTTAACTCACTGGGAAGAGATTTCTTAGGGAAGCTTTTTGGGGAAGGTGAGGCACATTTCAGCTTCTGAATTTGCACTGTCTATGTCAGCTTCTACTGACCTCCCCCGCCCCATCCCTTTATAATCCCCACATCACTACGTACTGAGAGCACCAACTTGTTTGTGACAGACACACTCCAAAGACCCAACAAATACCAACTGCATTCAATAACTGATACAAAGGGGAGAAAAAGGATGCAAAGAGTAAAAAAATGGGCCTAGTCCCAAGTTATCAAAGATGTTTTCTTTTCTCCTCCCACTGCTCCTGATATGTGATGCTTGAAAGCTCTTTATTAAAATTCTTTCAGTCTAAGAGAAAGACTTTATTTCCTTCAGTTTATTGGGAGACCTTTAGGGGCAGATCTGGGTCATTTTTCTGTATCTCTAATATCTAGTATGTTTGCTAGAACATTGTAGGTGCTAAGCAGATGCTGGTTGAGTGCAGGAATGAATGAGGCATCCACTTGTTTATTACTTATGGAATTAATGGAAAGGTGACATGGATGGGGGATGGGTCCCCCCGATGCAGGGGACACGAGTTCGTGCCCCAGTCCGGGAGGATCCCACATGCCGCGGAGTGGCTGGGCCCGTGAGCCATGGCCGCTGAGCCTGCGCGTCCGGAGCCTGTGCTCCACAGCAGGAGAGGGCACAACAGTGAGAGGCCCACGTACCGCAAAAAAAAAGAATGGGGTAGTTGGAAGTGGAGAAAGGGATATAGAAAGGGTGCAAGGACAAACTCTGTTTCTCAAAGTTGTAAACACCTATTTATTATTATTGTTGTTGTTATTGTTATTATACCCACTATCTTATTTCCTCTAGGTCCAACCCAGTTTCTATTAGTCCCTCAGCACAATGACTATTTTCACAGCTAATTATTATGAAATAATTTTATTTAATCAAACCACTGCACATCATTATGTATACCCCAGAGCACATCATCCATGGGAAATCCTAGTGGGTGCTGGTGAGCTCACAGAGGCACTCAGCCTCGTCCACAGGGAGTCCCCTCCCCCGGGCATCACACTGCAGATCTGTAGATGCATCGTGTTTCAGCACCAGCTGGAGTCTTGCATTTTCAGATCCATAATTTTCAAGGTTTGAAACAGAAACACAGAACAGTGGTCAATCTTGGTTATTCTTTTAGGTAACTGTTTGCTAGACCTGCCACGCAAGCAGATCCTGGGCCCCGAGGAACTCCCGGGACAGACCTACGATGCCAGCCAGCAGTGCAACCTGACCTTCGGGCCCGAGTACTCGGTGTGTCCCGGGATGGACGTGTGCGCCCGCCTCTGGTGCGCCGTGGTGCGCCAGGGCCAGATGGTGTGTCTGACCAAGAAGCTGCCAGCCGTGGAAGGGACACCATGTGGAAAAGGGAGGATCTGCCTGCAGGGCAAGTGTGTGGACAAGACCAAGAAAAAATATTATTCAGTAAGTGATTTTCTTGTCACGCAGGGCCTGGAGACCTAAGGTCTGATGTACCTTCCTGTGACACCTGTGGGGACTGGCCACAGAAGGCTCTATTTCCTAGTTAAAATATTTTTCCTTGAGGGATCTATTTACAGCTCCCTCCTTTACCTGCAAGAGCCATCCCCAGCTGTCAATTACTGGAGAAAATGCAGATCTCAGGTTATATCCTGTAGCAAATAAGTAGACAGCCCAGATTCTGTCTAATTGAGACCCCACGTAGGGCCCCAAATTACCACTTGGGAGTTTACTTTCAAACTGCTCGTAAAGTTATTGGAATACATTTATTTAAATTCGGTAAGGAAATAACAGCAAAGCTGACACATGGTCCTCATGCATACTTGGTGAACTCCAAAATGGTCACGCTTTCCCCCTCATGGCAAGTTAATCTAACTTCAGGAACTATAATAGCCACACCTGCTCCAGGGAGACACCTCCTCCCTCCCTGTGCACCTGGTCCAGCTTCATGTCAGCAACTGACACCTTCACTGTCAAGGTCCAAGCAAAGCATTTGTTCCCTCTCACTCATAACATTTTCAAAGTCCCTAGAAGAGTGTTGCCATAGGCGTGTTGCCTGTGCCTTTCAAGACTAACACACAAGCAAGCATCCTCAGATACCCTGACACAGATACCCTGACACATACAACCAGAGGAAGTTCTTCAGGAATTCCCTCGGCAAAGGCGTTTCTAGTATCTTCCTTTTGGAGTCTCTCAGCTTCCTGCTGCCTGCCGTGTTTCTATAGCAATAAACCTGGGATGTCATAACAGGACTCTTCATTCCCTGTGATGTGGGTGCATGTGATTGGGTGCTCTTCAGTATCTGTCCCATTTCCTCTTTACAGGGTGTAATGAAGCCAAGCCCAGGTCAGATACATTTATGCATGTGACAGAGGGTCTGTCACAGGTGGGACGTGTGATGTCAACAAAGGGACTGCAGAACTTCAGTGCTAAAGAGGGAGAAAAGATGGAAGCATAATCAACCTGGAATCATACAGAATCTTTAGCATCACACAGTTCTTTAAAGATGCAAGATCAGGGTGAACACAAAGTAAACCGTGGTTCGGTGGTTATTAACAGAAATGTGCAGTATCAGAAGATCCAAAGAAGCCACGAGCAACCCTTGCAGTGTGCTCAGTACTTAGGGTGAAGTGTTCAGACCCTCTAGTGCTGAGGGGTGGGGGACAGAAAAGGTGGATTGCCAAGATTTGGAATCACATTGTAATTCCAGAGTGTTCAATACCTGTGACCATGTTAAATTCAGTGAAAATTTAACTGTGATGAAGTGTCCACCGAGCGACTGAATTCAAGTGATTTCCAAATGTACATTCCACTGAGTCATTGAATGCATGTGATTTCCAAATGTACATTTTGAATGTTTTCCTCCCTTCTCAGTTAAAATATCTTCTATTTTCTGTTTTAGACATCAAGCCATGGCAGCTGGGGATCCTGGGGTTCCTGGGGCCAGTGTTCTCGCTCATGTGGGGGAGGAGTACAGTTTGCCTATCGCCACTGCAATAACCCCGCGCCCAGAAACAATGGCCGTTACTGCACAGGGAAGAGGGCCATCTACCGCTCCTGCAGTGTCTTACCCTGCCCAGCCAATGGTACGCTGCTCCCAAGTGTCAGCAACCATCACGTGTCGGGTGTAATTTGTACTCTAGCAGTAATAAATAGAGGAGGCTGGAGAAATAGCCTATTACTCTTGTATTGCACAGTTCCACCAGTATGCAAATCAATAACAAATACATGAGTGATTTTTAAATTATTATTATAAACAACTGAGTGTTCAGGGAGTAGGAAGAAAATAATTGCTGTTTTCAACTCTGTGTTGAAGATAAAAATCCTTCAACACTGGTGTAGAGAGACTCTGGAAAAAAAATATATCATCTATCATCTCCTTAAGTGTATTTAAATGAGCAAGAATATATCTAAGTTTCAGAACAGAGAGAGTAATAATGTGACATGTTTGATTCTTAGGTAAATCTTTTCGTCATGAGCAGTGTGAGGCCAAAAATGGATATCAGTCTGATGCAAAAGGAGTCAAAACATTTGTGGAATGGGTTCCCAAATATGCAGGCATCCTGCCAGGAGATGTGTGCAAACTGACCTGCAGAGCTAAGGGCACTGGCTACTACGTAGTGTTTTCTCCAAAGGTAACTGCATGCAGACGGTCCAGAAACAGTAGGCGTCCATGGTGGAAATTATTTGGTAGAATGGAGCCTGCACATACCAAATGTAAACGTCATTATTTGGGGGGTGGCTAGGTTTTGGAAGGTTTCATTTTCACCTCTGTAATTTCTATATTTTCAAACTTGCTACAATGAATCAAAAGGATTTTGTAAACAGAACAAGTAAATGTTTTAAAAGCTATTTTTGAAAAAGTGTAACTCTCTGTCAAGAAGGTGAATTGCAAACTTAACTTCAAAATAGTATTCCCTAGGTACATTTGTAAAGGGGACTATAAAACAAGAAAGTTTTCTATTTTTCTGTCATCTTTTACTGAAGAATTTCTTTGGTGATTCATGAAGATAGATTCAAGATCATCATCCCTGACCTAGACTTTAAAATGTCTTGCACATTTAAAATGAATCAGTGTCCTTTTAGTTATACACATTTATAATATATGCATGTGAAATTATCCCTTGTTTTTCACAGAAGAGCATTTTCTAACTTATTGAAGTTTCATTTCTCACAAGCAACATTATGCGGCAGTTAAAACAGTTTATCTAATTTGCAAATAGGTACTATATTTAAAACCATCTCTGTAACTGGTCTTCAGATATTTATGACATATTATTGAAAAATAAGTTAATGTCCAAGTTATGTAACATTTAAAATGTTTTATCTTTTTATTGAAAAATAATACATTTTCATTTAAAAATATTATAGAGAGATAAAAGCAAAAATATTACCTGGAAATATAATCATTTAGAGAGCTGTTAACCTGTTGAAGAATACCCTACCTCACTTTATACACATATACACCCTCATATACACACACTTATATGAAAGAGTTTTGTATATACACAAATACAAAATATGTATGTTTACACATATGACTATATATGTTACTTATACATACTTATATGCACAAACCACTGAGTCCATATACATGGTATTTTGTAACTAGTTTATTAAATATATGCTAATTCTTTTTTTTCAAAAATATTCAGTCTCTTCCAGTAAGTACTTTTCTCTGACCTTCCCAGACTTCTTTTTTACACAAAATTGTCTCTACTTCAGTGTCTCACAGTTCAACACAATAGGGAATGCTTTCCAACCGTTACAAGGTTGTGACTGTCCAGTGTAGATTTTCAATTTTGTTACAGTAATAACAATTACGCACAAGACAGAAATAGAGTCACAGATATAGAAAACAAACTACCAAGAGGGGAGGGAGGAAGGGATAAATTGGGATTGGGATTGACACATACACACTACTATATATAAAACAGATAACTAACAAGAATTTACAGTATAGCACAGGGAACTATACTCAATATTCTGTAATGACCTATATAGGAAAAGAATCTAAAAAAGAGTGGATATAATGCATATGTATAACTGATTCACTTAACTGCACAGCAGAAACTAGCACAACATTGTAAATCAACTATAAAATTAATTAACAAAATCAATTGTGTAAACAAAAAGGATGTCTGCATTCGTGAGCCTGCTCTTATTCTGCTCTCCACACAAGTGACAGACAGTCCCACACTAAGTGAAAGATTGTTTCTAGCAATAAAAAAGCAAGACTATACCATGGGAACGTGTTACCCACACAGAAATGGAGACTAGGATCTCGAGTCTCCTAACACATTCGGAATTAAGCTCAAGAGATAAAGAAGAGAGAAAGGGCATAACCCCAATCTATCCCAGTTCTTCTTTCTGCCAATATGTCAAGAATTTTTCAGTTGGATACTCCTGGAAACTATGGGTTTTTTTTTTTTTGATTCGTTGTTTAGTTTCCAAAGTACTAGCCATTCCAATCAAACTTAAAACTCCCAAATTAGAACTTGCAATTTTATCAAAGAACCCACCTACGCAGGCCCAAGTATTTCCCACTGCTAACGTGTTTCTCATTATTCAGGTGACCGATGGAACGGAATGCAGGCCATACAGCAATTCCGTCTGCGTCCGGGGAAAGTGCGTGAGGACGGGCTGTGACGGCATCATTGGCTCGAAGCTGCAGTATGACAAGTGCGGAGTGTGTGGAGGAGACAACTCCAGCTGCACAAAGGTGATTGGAACCTTCAATAAAAAAAGGTAATGTGAGAGAACGATTGCCCTTATCTGATCTGAACGAAGCTTTAGACTCTTGCAAAATTGATAAAGGAGAACTCGTGTTACATCATAAGCTATCTGTGGGAGGACATCTAGCCAGGACCTAGTTACACATGATGAATATGAGAAGTGAAGGGAAGGAGAGGACATGAAATGAGCTCTGCATGCCGACTGGAAACCCATGGCACCTCTGCGAGCAGATTAACTGCAGTAGCCATGGGTCCAGGTTTTACAGAGTGTGAAAAAGGCAAAGAAAAAGTCTGTGACATTCCACTTTAGCCATATCTTGCAGATCTGTTATTTCTGAAACACCATTTAGGAAGAGATGGCTGGTTTCCAACGTAACTACTGTTTTGTTTTGTTTTTTTACAAATACATTCTCATTAGGCTGTAGTTTTATTGAGAAAACATTTCTCAATGCAAAATGTAAGTTATCTGCAGTAGTGTAGATGGCAAGCCTGTTTTTGAGACAGCTATCCTGGTTTATATCTACTCTGTAAAGAATAATGTCAGTTTTCTGCTTCCTCTTATGGTCCTGATTACACTCTTGCTTTACCATTTTCTGGCGTGAAATATTATACTATCAGCTAGGATGGCTGAGTCAGCTAAAGAGTCTGCTGGAATGCAGGATTGTTTTTCCTCTTCACCAGACCACTCTTATGCTGAGTGGTCTTGGTCAGGTTCACCTGTATTCCTGATATATGTGCTGTGTTGTCTTTAACTGGAGAGGAATATACAAACCAAGTCAACAATAAGAATTCCTTAAAACAATCGCATGCCATGGTAATGTAAAAAACTAGAAATGACCTTTGATATGATAAAAAAAAAGTATGGCTGGAGAATTTATTCTGTATTAAAATATGCATTACTAATCCTATTTGCTAGTGATATAATAATTATTCATCTAATTGTGTTGGGCCATCTAGGTCAAAACCCCTGCAAGTCCAATTATATCCTGCGTTTTAATATATTTCAAAGGTTCAAGGCTCCTTAGAAATGATCCAGTCTAACGTTTTGCTTTACAAATGAGGGAATTGGGACTCTGAAAGTTTAAGACTTACCCAGTTTTACTTGGCTGATAAATGCCAAAGTAGAGGCTATAGCTTAGGTCATAAAAATAGCATGCACAGGCCATTTGTAAAAAAGAAAAAAAGAAACCAAAAAAGAAAGAAGGGTAAAAATTCAGGAACCAAATGAGAAATAAAATTATTTTTTTAAAAATAATACCTTACCTCATGTACTGTATGCTGTGTATCCTTCCTACATCAACTTATAAACCTCTTTTTATAATGCTAAATTTAGCATTAAGCTTTTTTATTTACAACAAATATCCGCATATTTGATGTCACCTGAAAAGGGGAAGGAAGACATTCATGATAGCAACAAGCAGGATCCCACATAACTGCTTGCAAATTGATTTGACCAAGATTATAGTATGTGGTACAAATGACCTGTTTGAGTATCCTATATAAATTATCTTGGCCTAGTGTGATCGATAAAAGAGAACATTGATCTTGGAGCTGGAATATTTGCAATCACGCTCTGGCTCAGTAATTCACCAGCTATGTGATCTTTGAAGAGTCACTCAACTTCTTTACAATTAGCATCCTTGAGAGTAGAATGGAAATAATAGTAATTATCTTGCAAATGAATGTTGCTGTGAGGACCAAATGAGATAATGCATATTAAACTACTGCACTAAGTTCAAACCTCTTCACAAATATGATCCTAATTTTAATTCACTCCTCCCTCAATTTTCTTCGTGTCAGTAAAGGGAAACTCAATCCTTCTACTGCCTAGTACCAAAACTTTGGCGTCATCTTTCACACCTCATTTTCTCTCACACCCCACATCCATCCATCTGCACATCCTCTCAGTCCTACTTCCAACATATGTCCAGAATCTGGTTGCCCCTTACCGCACAAGCAGAAGCACTGCCATATGGTAGTCATTGTCTCTTGCCTGGACCAATCCAGCAGTCTTCCCACGGGTCTCCTGGCCCCTGGCCCCTCACAGACTCTTTTTCACAAAGCAGAGAGAGCCATCACTTTATCACCTAAGTCAGATGGTGGCATTCCTGGGCTCAACCCTCCATTGGCTACCTTCTCACTTAGAGTCAGTGTCCAAGATCTCTTCATAACCTGTGAGATGCTAAAACATTTGGTCCCTGCCCTGCTCTGAGTCCCTTCTACACTGGCCACTTCCCTTGCTCTGCGCTAACATACTGGGCTTCCCAACACTCCTCAAACACGGCAAGTGGCAGCATGTGCACTATTTCCTCTGCCTGGAACAATTTTTAACACTTAATAAGCAGTGCTTCCTCTAGAATTCCTTTAGATGTCTGTTAAATGTCACCACTACCCACCCCCCAAAAAGGTGGTGGCTTCCATAAGTGAATAGGAGCATCTCTCCCCCATCCTCGTCGTTCCTCTATCTTCTTACTCTGTTTCTTCACAGCTCTTAATCAACAGATATTGTCACATATTTTGTTTGGGGGTCTAAGCCCCACCCCACTAGAATGTCCCTTCCACGGCAGCATGCTTAGTATGTAAGAATGCATGTATTCCTTCATGGCAGGTACTGTTCTTGTACTGGGGAGATAGCCCTGAAGAAAAGAATATTCCCCTGCCTTGCCAGCCACACTTCATACTTCATAGTTATATGAAAACATCTGCATTCATTCATGGTAGCCAAGGAAGCTGGTTAATGTCTAAAGTGTAAATGATACCAAGAAGGGTACAAAGAAAATGAATAAAGAGTACAAAGGGAAACCTATTTTACTAAAATATCAAGAAATCAGAGCATGACTTTTACAATAGCCAGGACATGGAAGCAACCTAAGTGTCCATCAACACATGAATGGATAAAGAAGATGTGACTCGTATGTACAACAGAATATTACTCAGCCATAAAAAGAAACAATAACTTGAGTTATTTGTAGTGAGGTGGATGGACCTAGAATCTGTCATACAGAGTGAAGTAAGTCAGAAAGAGAAAAACAAATACCTTATGCTAACACATATATGTGGAATCTAAGAAAAAAAAAATGGTTCTGATGAACCTAGGGGCAAAACAGGAATGAAGACGCAGATGCAGACGTAAAGAATGGACTTGAGGACATGGGGAGGGGGAAGGGTAAGCTGGGACGAAGTTTAGAGAGTGGACATATACACACTACCAAATGTAAAATAAATAGCTAGTGGGAAGCAGCCACATAGCACAGGGAGAGAAGCTCGGTGCTTTGTGACCACCTAGAGGGGTGGGATAGGGAGGGTGGGAGGGAGACGCAAGAGGGAGGAGATATGGGAATATATGAATATGTATAGCCTATTCACTTTGTTATACAGCAGAAAATAACAGAACATTGTAAAGCAATTTTACTCCAATAAAGATGTTTAAAAAAAAAAGAAAAGAAATCAGGGCATGAATCCTCATACTTCCCAGTGGCTCGGGAAGCTCAGTTTGAGGCCTGCGCAGTGCTGAGAGTTCCCAGCGATTCTCGTGAACATGAGTCAGACTCTAAGAACAGGATTAAAAAAAAGGCTCTCCCGTCTAATTCCCTTACCCTATATTCTTCGCTTTCTTGACACTCTGTTTGGTATCATTTAAACTCTGAACGTCACCAGAACTTATTTTAACTGTTATGACGTACAGTTGTTGGAGGGAAGGGATTCATGCAATGGGGACGTGGTAAAAGGAGCATAAAGTGTGAGTCGAGAGGCCTAGAACTGCCACTCATTAGCTCTGGAGTGAACTTGTGCAAATACTTTAATACATCTCCACATTATAGACTTTTTAGGTAAGATGGAATGTTTTCTCCTGGCTTTGTTTGAAGCCATTGTAGAAACATCTCATCTCTTAATATTAGATACTTCAAAAAAAAAATCCTGTGACAGAATCTAGTCCAAATGTATTAGAAAAATTAAGATAATGAATCAAATTAGGGAATTCCCTGGCAGTCCAGTGGTTAGGACTCCGGGCTTTCACTGCTGAGGGCCCATGTTCAATCCCTGGTCGGCAAACTAAGATCCTGCAAGCTAAGTGGTGCGAGCAAAAAAAAAAAAAGCTAATGAATCAAATTGAATAGATAAGCAACATCATCAGCATTGCATCTTCTCTCTTCAACACAGTAGGAAGCTCTGACACCTGTCTGGCCATCATGGTAGGTCAGATGCCCAATAGAAAGGGGCCTTCCCTGGGGATAAGCCTCCTCTCCAATTCAGAGGAAATGTTTGAGTGGGTAACACATTTGGATTTTACATATATGAATCCGTTATCCCGTATCCTCTAAACTTTAGTAAGAATTCAGAAGTGAATAATTAAATTTCACACACATCCGTTAAACTGCACAAGTAAAGTATTTGTTTCCATTTAAATAACTAGGAAAGTAAAACATATGAGGACCTTAATGTGAAATTACTTAGGCAAAGATTTGGGCAAAAGATGACTCCTCCCCACTGGTCTAGTCCCTTGGTGCTTAATTAACCTTTCTGTCCTTGCGTTTTCTGCAACCTTATGGGTATCAGAGATATTTATGCCTTTGCCCATTTTCCTGAGCAGATGATGGGTTATTAGAGATCTATCTCATATGTCACTCACCATAAAGCATCGCTCAATTGACTATAACACTTTGCAGACCCTAAGCTTTCAGGGAAATTTGCTAAGGCATTAAGGATTCTTTTGTCCTTTGATGATTCTGGTAAGCTACGGTTATGCAGTTAAAGAATTTTATGTTCTATTTTCTGTCTTGCCCCAGGAAATCCAGAGTTTTAGTAGAAATGGAGTCAGAGCCTCTAACCTGTCTATAGCCCAACAAATAATTAAATCCGTGGTTTCCCAACTAGTCTGCACCTTGGAACAGTGTGGGGAACTCTAAAAGTATTGCTGCCTATGACCCATCCTGAAAGATGGGGATTTAACTGTTCTGGCATCTGGGGATTTAAATTTGTAGGCTTTGGAATTTTTAAAAGATCCTCACATGATCTTAATATGCAAACAAGCTTGAGGAACGTTCATTGAAAGACTTCTATGAGATTAATTGAGGGTAGATTTTTGCTGGTTTTTGTTTACGGGCATTTTGTGCCAGAAAAAACCTAAAGTAGCTTTGTAAAGATGATAAGATTTGATAATGATGTGTGATTTTTGTGTAAATCTTTAACTAAAGGAAGTATAAATTTTTAAAACCAAGGCAGGTTGCTAACATCATCCTAATTTTGAACATCATAATACAAATGTATACAATGTGATAGTCTGACTGCAATTTTATTTTGTTCTAAGAAAATTAATTTTTGAAGGCAATTTAAAATGAAGCTTTTTAATACATTAAAACTTTATATTAAGGTAAGGTGAGACTTTTAGAGAATTTCTATTTGTTTATCCATTTGTTAAGCATTTACTTACTTTTCTTTCCTCCCCTTTCTTTTTCTCTCTCTCCCCTGTGGACATTCCTGCTTCCAGCAAGGGTTACACTGATGTTGTGAGGATCCCGGAAGGCGCGACTCACATAAAAGTCCGACAGTTCAAAGCCAAAGACCAGACTAGATTCACTGCCTACTTAGCCCTGAAGAAGAAAAACGGTGAGTACCTTATCAATGGAAAGTACATGATCTCAACTTCGGAAACCATCATTGACATCAATGGAACAGTCATGAACTATAGTGGTTGGAGCCACAGGGATGACTTCTTACATGGGATGGGCTACTCAGCCACGAAGGAAATTCTAATCGTACAGATTCTTGCAACAGACCCAACTAAAGCCTTAGATGTCCGTTACAGTTTTTTTGTTCCCAAGAAGTCCACTCCAAAAGTAAACTCTGTCACTAGCGACAGCAGCAATAAAGTGGGATCGCCTACTCCACAGCTGCAGTGGGTGACGGGCCCGTGGCTCGCCTGTTCTAGAACCTGTGACACGGGCTGGCACACCAGGACGGTGCAGTGTCAGGATGGAAACCGGAAGTTAGCAAAGGGATGTCTTCTCTCTCAGAGGCCTTCTGCATTTAAGCAATGTTTGCTAAAGAAATGTTAGCCTGTGGTTATGATCTTCTGCAGAGACAACTGGATGATTCATCACTGACACAGTTGTGGTGAACACAAGGTCAACCGAAAGCACGGAAAGTCACACTTCAGGGTCATTGTCAACAGGAGTCCGATTATGGGCAGAATCTGCTCTCAGCGACCAAATAAAGATGCGCACTGCTTCATGGGACAGTGGTGACCTTGGAATATAGAAAAACTTGGGAGTTATTGAACATCCCCTGGGCCTACAAGAATACAAAAACACTGATGAATGTAGAATCAGGGGACATTTGAAGATGGCAGAGCAGTCGCCCCCTTGTCACCTACCTCTTACAGAATGTCTACAAAGGCATCGTAATCATTTTCGTGCATATTATTTACACAGTAGCTTATTTTTACTGTTTGTAAATACATTCTTCCTTGGTATGTCACTTTATATCACTTGGTTCTATTAAAAATATATATATATATATATATATATATATTTCTATAAAAAAGTGTTTGACCAAAGTAGGTCTGCAGCTGTTTCCACTCCTTCCAGTTTCTAGAAAGAGCTGTGGATGTTTTACTGGAAATTAAGAACTTGCTGCTGTTTTAAGAAAGATTTAGTATATGTTCAGACTACAGGAGATAAAATTTTCGTCAAAAACCGTTTTGACAGCAAGAATCTTCTGAGAAATTCTGAAAAGAAAAAAGAAGCTCAATATATCTAGTCATTTAAATACATACAGGGGTCCATTTATTTAAGCCTTTGACTGCCTGTATTTTTTCAGGCAGCCAGCCAAACTAATGCATAATTAGGAAGTAGAAGAAATGTTTGTGTGTGTGTGTATGTTATCGAGTCTAAAAATTAGTTTCCTCCTGTTAGAATTTAAAAAGAAAACAAATACATGCTTCACCATATTTTCAAGTTATATTTTCACAACTGCCTTCCCTTTCTATGGTTCCCATCTGATATCTCACAATGTGTAATATACATTCAGAACACACAGCAAAGAGTTTTCTATCACCTTCAACACTGGTATACCTCTTACCAGTGAGCCTTTAAAATGCATTTTGTTTTTGCTTGTTTGTTTTGTTCAAGGGTTCTGTAGGACCTACAATGTTTTGTACTTCTTGTTGACTTGGTAGTTAGCCACATCTAGAAGTGGTTATCATTAATGTGGCTCGTGAAAAAAAATAGTTAATATTAATAATACTGTTTCCACACCACAGGCAATAATTCCTTGCATTGTTTTTTTTCTTAATCCAAGTAGACTTATACTGTACTTAAGACTTTTCCCAATTAGAAAGCATTTGGTTGTACCAGTAAGTGTTTGAGTGATGAAATGTGATGGTCTTTGCAAAGTCTGCTCTTATTTCCATAGCCTGTCTAGGTAGGTGGTGAGTTAGAATAGTTAGACTTGGAAAACTTTTACAGTCATCTGCATAAAAATCTCATAGACAGTAAACTGCATCCCTCTACCCCATAGCTCAGAAAACCTAAGATATTTCATTTCATTTGGTTTTTCTTTTTCTTTGTGAAATATCACAAAGCTACTTGTTTTTATAAAATTTTATAATAATCATACCAAATGTGCCTATTTTTAAAGATTTGCATATAAGGATATTAGGGAACTATTTCTTGAGTTTCCTTACGCTCATGAGAGTTTATTTTTATTATAAGATATTTTTAATATAAGAGAATTATGTATTTGATCTTGCTATATAGCACATTCATTTCAGGGGAATGGATGTCTCACTGTTTTAAGTATTTTCATAAGAAATCATTAAGAAGTCAAAACTGTTAATCATCCTTTGGGTTTTCATAGACTGACTTTGCTTTAGATGTGGTCCTTTTTTCTTAATAAATTACCAGTTAGAAAAAGGAGGCCTATACAAGACTGGTAACCTCCATTTGATAAAGGTACCAGATATCAAGGACAGGGAGCAAAGCTGTTCATAGCAGTCAGAAAAAAAAATAAAAAATAAAAATCACACCGACCATTGACTATGCAGAGAGAATTAAGAGAAGGACCAACTTTACTTTTTCCAGTATTCAGAATAACTTGAATCAAGTACTTAAACTATGACAATTTTTTTTTAATCTTTTGTGGTTATATTGACAGCAACATTAAAAAATAATTGAAGAGCAAACATGATTGTGTCCTACTCTGCTTCTCCATACTGTATTCATAGATTTTTAAATATGATTTACCAATGATTCATTTTTTCCCCAAATATTAAAGTTTTACACTTCTCATGGGAGCAACCCTAGAGAGCTTAGAGCAAATAAACCACTATTCCATGCTTTTAAGGAGTTTCCTTTAGGGTTTTTTGTTTGGTTTGGTTTGGTTTGGTATGGGTATCAATAGACTGACTAAGGAATGTACGTCTAAACTCCTGAGAAAATTTATAGACTGGAAACTGAAATTCAGAGAAATGGAGTGTTTGGTAGACATAGAGTATGATGAGCAAAGGGAAAATCCTCTATAATGAAGATAATTCAGTTCAGTTTCACATTGGGTTATGCCTTTTACCTTTCCATAGTTACATCTTGAATAGAGCGTAGGATTCGGGATGCTAGGGGCTACTTCCTAAAAAGAAAAAAAGAAAAAAAAGAGCTTGTCTAAAAATGCTCAGGTTGGTAAGAATCTAATCTCACTCACAAAACTAAATACTCCAGGTTGTTTCATTAAATACTAAGGGAGCCCAGAAGAAAATAGCATTTATTTCTTCGGGAACAGAAAAAAGTCAAACGAAGCCCTCCCTTATTGTTTAGAGCTTTAAGGACATTGTTTTAATTTATTCAGCAAATTCAACTTCCTCTGCCTTCCTGTGGAAACAGTTTTAGCACATTAAGAATGAAGGGATTAATCACAAACAAAAAAAGTTGCAGCACTGAAAAGAAAGTAATTTATTGTTTTTGCAACTGGTATGTGAATTTGTGTGATAAAATTATTTATTCTTATTTAACAAAAATATGTGCAAATTCTTCTATATTTAAGATGTTTTGCTGTTGTCCTACTTTTTAATTTATGCTTCATGTTTGTGTATAAAGTACACTTTGTGAGTTTACATAATATACGGCACTGGTTGCTTTTGTATTTTTTTTTTACAGAAAGCTTTCTGTGTGAAACAGGTGTATATGTATATATTCCTCATGTATTCTTATTCTGATACTATCCCTTTTCTTCCTAAGTAAGTTTTAAATTTAATCTTCCATGGCTAGTAGTGTTCATCACTTGTAGTTATTTTAATAGGTCTTTTGGATTCCATTTAATACTAATTTTTCCAAGCTTCAGATAAGAAAAGCATTTATTCAAGCAACTAAGGTCTAAGTTTTAAACTAGGATATATAGGTAGCCTAGAAGCTTCCCATAGAAGCTAAGACACAATTCAAAATCAGGTCCATGAGCTTCACTGATGAACTTTGGACAAGGAGCTGTTGATACATCACAGCCTCCAAGTGATATCAATGATAATAAAACCAAATAATGTCTTTTGCTGCCCTAGAAACCCTCCTTAAAATTAGTATCATTCAGTCTCTAGTATCTTTAAGATTCTATAGATGAGAGTAAACAAAGTGGATTTAAATGATTCAAATGTTTGTAGTCATAACTGTTTCACCAAGTTTGGGATCTCCATTGATACAATATGACTTTTTACTACTACAAGTTAATCTCTTGGAGGGATAATAGGACTTGGGACAAGCAGGGACACCTCTGAGCACACCAGCTTGCTCCTGACTATGATTTCACAGTCTGGTCATGGCAATAAGGCAAAGCACCTTTGGATACACAATTGACTAGATCAATCTCTGGTTCTGATGTTTCTCCCCTTTACTCCTTCCTCATTGGACAAGGTCATTGTAATTGTTTAGGTGAGGGCAGCAGCCAGAGTCAAAGAAGTTCAGGACTTGTGCTATAACTTAGAGTTCACTGTTTGTGAAATAAGATTGAATTTAATAATGACTGGATTTTGCTAATAGTTTATAGCTAAGTATGAAATCTCATTGGTATGATTGGTGACTATTAGTAATCTATTAGTAGTTAAACCTGAAGCCATAAAAACACCTTATTTTTTTTTAACATTTCAAAGGTACAAAGTAAATGAATGACCTTGAAGACAGAAATGGCCATCCAAAGCTATAATAGAACCAAGTACAGGGTCAAGGTGATCTATCTTATAGACACACAGAAAAGGAATTTACATGTTTTCTCTATTATTTTTCTCATTTGTCAACAACATGTAGTTTTAGGTTGTCAAACAGGTAGATCAACTTAGCTCAACAGCCCACTGAAACATACAATCTTTCTAATAGCTCCCTGTTATCATGAACTACAGAAATGACTGCTCAAGTTATAACACATGAAACACATCAGTCTATACCACATAATTTTGTGTTCTATTCAATTAATGTATGAGAACATACTGAAACACCAACCCACGCATTAGTGAGCCAGAAAATGAGAATATACATAGTGTTTAGATCAGAAAAGCTTTCAACCTGGCAATTATCTTTCCGGTGCCATTATATCATAATTTTTAATGCAGATTTTGTAGAAAAGATAAAGGAATCTGTTGTTAGAAAACGCTGGTTTTAAAATGGAGTAGGACTGAAACATACACATTCATTAACCCTGTTAGTTGCACCCTCTTAATATTCTAGCACTAAGAGTAAGTTTGCTGTCTGTGGTCCTTATCTCATAGCTCCACTGACTGATCCATGTGTACTGCCATAGGTCAAATGAAAAAAAAATAAACAATGGCCCATTATCCTATAAGGCACTGCCACATCAGAGTGACCCAAGTCTAACACTGTGAGGAAAACTGTGATTTATAAATAAAACAGGGCATTTTTTCTTTTACTTTTCCTTTGGCACATCCAATGAAGAATTGTAATCTTTATCAAGGTGCTAACACTTTCAGTGACCAACTGCCAAATGTGGTATTTCTGAGTTACTATTTTATTCTACATGATTTTTCAATTTGCAAGAAAGAACTCTAAACAGTTTGTCAAGCTTGGGCACAACTTGATACTCAAAGTTTGGGAAATTGTATTTAATGGTCATTCAGATTGGCAGTGTTTAGTGACATAAGCTATATGTACATTGAGGATGCTTAATGTGACGTCCAAACTTGAAGAGCATCAGGTTGGTGTAGCCCACTTTTAGATGTCATGTTCCATCACATACTAAGCCATCAGCATTCCTTTCAAAGAAACTTGTCTGTTTCTTATACACAAAGGAACTTCTGTGTATATTTAGCTGGACTTTAAGCTTTGCAATATTTTATGTTCACACATACACTTGGCTACTATATCTCCATCTTTTCTGTAACAATTCACAACGTATGAAAAACACTCACCCCATGCTGAGTATATCTAGGATAGAATATAATACTGTGTGTGACTTTGTGAAACTAGACTTTGGATTAAGAAAGTCTCTGGATGGTATTTTTGCATCACACACTCCAGCATGACATAAATGTAGGAGTCAACAAATACTGCTTACATTTTAGTGTGATACATTGATCAGAGCAAATCATGCCCTTGCTTTGTAAATAGACTGCAGATAACTAAACAGATTGCGGGAATATGTTCGATTTGATGTAGGCACTGGCACGAATATTTGGTTTCTATATTAGAGTCTGTGAATCAAGTCAGGTAATAAAAATAGGTAGAACTGAGATTCTTAAATCTTGAAAGATGCTTTCAAGGTAGAGTAAAATATTGAAGATTTACATGCTGTATACAAGCAGTAAAATGTAAGCTGCTTTTTACACTCAATTTTCCAGAAGTGTTGGCATTTTTCAGTAAATATAATGCTGTTGGAAAACCAAAAACAATCTTGGAAAACTAAGACGGGTCTTATTTCAAATGTCTCTTCAGCTTTGGCAAATTTCAAATCTGAAACGACTATTGAAAGCATTACTGTGTCTTGTAGCCTGCATTCCACAACAACTCTGTTATTCACGTAAACCACTTGAACTGAGACTTTTGGGACCTATACTGTAATATTTTTCATTAAGGAACAGTATCTTATTTTGTAAAGCATTTCCCCTATGTGTGACTTTAAACTGTAAAATTAAACATTGGCTTTCTGGTTTCACTGGGCATAATAAATGTAAATTGTAAACTAGGTTAAAGTATGTACTGCATATAATATGTTTTAGAGGTGGAAACTACTGTCCATTTATTTTTAATTTTCTCATAACAGCAATAGGACCAAGCCAGGTCTTAATGAAGCCCTAGGTTCTCTATAATTTCTCCCATTCCTCATTCACATTGGTACAGACAATTAATACTTTCTCTCTCTTAAAATACAATGAACTATATTGCTTCAAGTTCTTCTTACCAACTACCACCTGCTAAGTCTGTCTAGTGTCAAACTTCTGGTGTTAACTTAGAAGCAGCAAGCAATATAATCTACCTGCTTCATCCTTTCTTTTTTAAAAATGAACATATTCTAGATATAAAACTAAAGAACCAAAATAATAATGCACGCATGGAAATTAAAAAAGAATTGATATCCACTAGCAAAAGCCTATTTATTAATATTTGGTATCAAATTTATAGTATTAGGATTCCGAAGGACATGAATTCCTTCTAAACCTGAAATCATTACTATTAGTGTATATTGCAAACATTGAATTTCTCTCTCTTATCAAATAGTATTTCAGAATTGTACATTAAATTTTATTCTTGGTAGGATGTATACTTTTGAAAGAAATAATTTAAAATGCTTAAACATTTAAAAGCATGGTATATAATAATTAGGTTAAGATTGGCTGAACATCTCTTTGGGTCAGGCCCTGGGTGAACACGTCACAAGCTTTCTCCCAGGTGTTTCTCTCCATGACCCCTACGGCATTGGTCTTAAGATCCCAATATTGCAGACGGCTCTCACATCATCGCAACTGTCAATGGTCATCTAGGTGTCACCAAGTGCCAGGCACTGTTATAATCACTTTAGATATTTATTATCAATTATTGGCTTTTCAAAGCACTAGGAGTCTTAAATCCATATGGACCAAGAGTCTGAGGGAGGGATTGCAGGGTGGATGGAAGAATGTATGAGATTGGGGAAATGAGGGGAAGTATTTAGATGTCCTAATGTGTGGGCCCTTGAGTAAAAGCAAGAGTGGTCCTAAAATTCCTATTAAAATGGCATGGAAACTGGAGAATCGGGCAAGCAGTGAGAGTAGAGACAAGAGCTTAGAGTGTACAAAGAACTATTGTTTAAGGAGAGAGAATTTGATGTAGAAAACTAGTAAAATGGCTGGAATGGGGAAAAAAAAAACTTTGGTATTTAATCTTACAAACTCCTTCACAGCTAATAATGAGCTGGTTCAGGCAAGGTCGAAGGTGTAAAAATGGTCCTGGGGGTAGTTTTTAGATTAGGAGTAAAATGAACAAAGAAGATGGTTCAAAATGGAGCAACAGACGTTTGAAAAGCCCAAACCATATTTAATTCCTAGATTCTGTGGGGTTTTTCTTGATATATTATTGTTGTATCTGTTCAATTAAACTTCTGTTTTCCCACGGAATGAAAGATATATATGTTTTAATGTAGACACAAGCAAAGGAGCATAGCTCTGTTTTTCCCAATTTTCCTCCATATCCATCTCATAGGTAAAGAGATTCGAATTCCAGGATGATTCACCAACTGGGGCAGTTCCCAGGGATGGAGAAAGATAGTAAGCAGTCCCAGAACCTCACTCTGACTTGAATTTCATTAACTTTGCCATAATATTGATTTCTGTTTTTATTTCTATATGCCCATAGCACTTTGCCTCCCTATTTCTGCTTTCATTGGAGTTTGCCTTGAAGTTTCAGACCTTTTGTTGTTGTTATTTATTATTAAAAGCATCTAGATCTTGGAAAGCAGGAAAGTATATTCTTAATCATTTGTAGTAGACTCATCCCCAAAACAGTAACTGAACTAGTTTCAGGTGTAAAGAATTTTTCATCTATAAAAGTGCTGGGGACCACTAACCTATTCATCTTCCAAATAAGTCTGGTACCTACTAGACGTTGTAAAGAATTTATCCAGAGGGTTCCTTTAGTCTTGAGCCTTTTTACTATCTCTTTCCTATTCAAAGATGTTTTTTCTTGTTCCTTGGATTTTTTTTTTTTTTTTTTTGGTACACCTATGTTCATAGCAGCATTATTCATAAGAGCCAAAAGGTGGAAGCAACCCAAAAGTCCATTGACAGGTAAATGGATAAACAAAATATGATACATACATACAATGGAGTATTATTCAGCCTTTTAAAAAAAGGGAAATTCTGACACATGCTACAACGTAGATGAACATTGAGGACATTATGTTAAGCAAAATAAGCCAGTCACAGAAGGACAAATACTGTATCATTCCACTTATGTGAGATAGTAATTGAATTAATGATGGTTACCAGGGGCTGGTGGGAGGGAGGAATGGGGAGTTGTTGAATGGGTACAGTTTCAGTTTTGCAATGAAGATAATGGTGGTGATGATTACGCAACAATGAAACTACTTAATGCTACTGAACTGCACACTTAAAAATCGTTAAGATGGAGCCTCCCTGGTGGCGCAGTGGTTGAGAGTCCGCCTGCCGATGCAGGGGACACGGGTTGGTGCCCCGGTCTGGGAAGATCCCACATGCTGCGGAGCGGCGAGGCCCGTGAGCCATGGCCGCTGAGCCTGCGCGTCCGGAGCCTGTGCTCCACAACGGGAGGGGCCGCAACAGTGAGAGGCCCGCGTACCGCAAAAAAAAAAAAACACGTTAAGATGGTAATTTTATGTTTATTTTTACCAAAGTTTAAAAAAAAAAAGCCTCACAGCCTAGTCTGGGGTGGGCACACATGAAGGAGCCCACATTTTCACCAAAAGTGGGTTATCAGAGTAATGGCCTGCAAGAGCCCTGAAAGGACGAGGGAGGCCCTGAGGAACTTACATGTATTTTGCACCTATATTTGGGGGGAGGGGACAGACTGGAAATGGGACAAGGGGCTTCATCCATTCCTTGGTTTTCTTCCCAATTCAGATAGAAAATGTCTCAAAGACTCACTGGGGTACCTGTGGGAACACTGGTAGTGTATTTGATGAGAACCTAGAAAGGGGAGATTTTTTTTTAATTTAACTGTTATAAGCCAGCAAATAGGTAGGACGTTGACACATGAAGGGGCAGGGCAGGGGGGACATCTAGGAGCAGTGGCTGGTACAGCACCTCGGGATTTGCAAGAACACACAGCTTCCATGAGGTTTGGGAATCCCACCAATCACAATCCATTCTACTTTGATTAAAAAACGATCATGCAGCTTGATGTAGCCTCTCCATCAGATTTGACTTGGACTTACTGTGGCTCTTTCCAAAAATCAACTTTGCCCTCAGATTAGAACTTTTACAATACTGAGAATATTCCAAAGAATAACGGCGCCACCCCTGGAAGCTTTAAAACAGAGAGCCACTGAAGTGTAATCCCATAGCGGAGCAAGGGGAGATCCCTGGTCCACCAAGACGTGCAAGCCTGGAATGTCAGGGGTATCCCGGAAAGAAACACGCATAAAATGGAGCTTCACGGGAGGGGCGCAACCCTTTGTGCCCGTCCTGGGCTCCTTGGATCTTAGTCGTGTTGTTTTAGGCAGTTTGAATATGGGAGCTCACTTAGAGCTGGATGTTATCAGACAGAAGATACAAAAGACACAAGAGCCTATTAGGTGGAACCCTGAAGAAGTGGCCAGAGCTGTGACCACTGTGGGTATGTCAGACAGAATATTAGTGCACAGGAACAAGCAATAGATATCCCTTCCCTCTAGATGATGCTAATAGCCGCTTCTGAGCTCCTCCACTGCGACCACCTAAGTCCAAACCACCAGCATTTTCC